AGCCCACAGTGCCTTGTTACGAGACGTCAGACAGATGCGACATTGAGCCTATTTCGCAGTAGAGCAAACGAAATTGCACACTAACACAACCAAAGAATCTAACACGGACAACGCACACTAAGAAATGATAAATCCACTTTCTGAATCCACACCAAAAATTTTGCCGTACATTCAGTTGTATGGGCGTTACACCTCTTAGTGTTTATATTCTCTTTGGTGTATCACTCATTATGATCGGACCATCACAGCAGATTTTCATTTCTTCCTATATATATAGTAGTCGCCTTCGCACACTCTCCTTGTGCGCTTCGTTACTACATGGACTGCCGTCCATAGTCGTTCAATTTTTTAAATATTTAATTCGAAATATTTAAAAAATAATATCCCCAAGAGTAGAAGGTAATATTTCAAAAAACACCGAAGCTAGAATTTTTTAACTTTCTTTTCCAATCCTTCCTATGATATAGTTGACCGATCCGGGCGGTTCCGACTTATATACTACCTGCAATAGAAAAACTACTTTTGGGAAAGCTCCAAGTTCCAGCTTCAAAACTGAGAGACTACTTTGCGTAGAAACGGACAGACAGTCGGACAGACGGACGGACAGTGACAGTGATGCTGATCAAGAATATATATACTATGGGGTCGAAAACGTCTCCTTCACTGTGTTGCGATATTACCTTCTACTTTTGAGAATATTATTTTTTTTTAATTTCTGAATTTCGAATTAAATATTTAAAAAATCGGACGACTATATCATATAGCTGCCATAGGGAAGGATAGAAAATAAATGTCAAAATAATACAAAATTAACAATTTTTGCGATTTGTAAGTTAATAGAAATTATCTGCAGGGGTATATAAGCTTCGGCTGGCCAAAACTAGCTTCCTTTCTAATTGTGAACTGTTTTGGAATTTTTAAAATTAATTTTCTTACTTCCTTCACAGTGACGATTCACAAACAGTGCCCAAAACTGTCACTATTTTACGTAACCCATAACTATTTTTAAGCACAAGTTACCCTTGATTTAAACATACAGTGGTGGTCAAAAGTATTTTCACAGATTTGTACTCATATTTTGAACTTATTATATAAACTTTTAGCACCTATAGACAAAGCACTTCAATTCCGTTTATATGAAACAAAAATGTTCTTAACCCATTAAGCACCCTTTGACAAGTTAGAAAATTTAGTAAAAGTCAAATTTTAAACTTTTTTCCTGGGTCTTAAACCAAAAATGTTTTGATGCAAGCAAAATTAATAATAACTGCAAAAAAAAAATCATAATAATTTTTCTTGTATTTTAATATATATGATTTTATGATTTGTTTGAAAATAGTTAAAAATGAAAATTTTAGCCGCTTTTTCCTCCTTTTCATACAAAATTATACTGAGATCTTTCCATTCAAAAAATCATAAAAATACGGGGGAAAACTATTTTGAAAATGTTTTTTTTTTTATATTCAAAGCAAAAGTACTTAGACCGTTTAGAATTATGTTACTTCAAATTGTGACAGGTTTGGGCACAGTTTGTGAATTGTCACTGGGAAGAAGTAAAAAGTAAGAAATAAAATTTTAAAAACTCCAAACCAATTCAAAAAGTTTTGATGAGTGTCTTAAAGATTAAGGACATAAGGTATCTTTGGGTCAAAAATGCGTTTTAGAAGAAAATATTTTTATTTACTTCTTAAATGCTGTTCACAAATGAAGATTTTTAAACTTAGCTGTGACCACCTTCTCTTGTGGTTCAGTTAGATTGGATTTTTCAAAACGACTGTATAAAAGAGACATGTTAAATAAGTTAAATGGTTAACTCCGAAAAGATTACCAAAATTGGTTGACCACTCTTGAAGATATATGGCAAAAGATTGTGATTTTCTTAAATGAAAGATACCGCAAATACCAGAGCTGATGGATTATTAGCGTAGTGGCAACATATGCATAGAAAAGTTTAATTTATCGAAATAAAATGGTGGCAGGCCTGTACACCGACCTATGTCACATTTTGTCGGCCTGTGTTATTTATATTCTTGATCAGCACCAATAGCTGAGTCCATATAGCCATGTCCGTCTGCCAGACCGTCCGTCTGTCCATTTCTATGCAAACTAGTCTATGAGATTTAAAGCAGCGCGCTGCAGACCGCTGCAGCGGTCGGCACACTCATACAATTTTCTTTTTGTTTTTATATTCGTGTGAGTAAATTGCACGGGGCAGCTTCCCACCGGGAAAGTGAAAAGGTGGTTCTTTGTGTGCTGAAAATCCTGTTCCTTTTAGCAGAAAGTGTTGGAAATCCTGTTTCTTTCAGCAGGCGACGGTGTAGGGAAAATGTAAATTCCCTAGGAAAACCACATAGAAACCTCATTTCCCCCTTACTTTTTGTGTCACCCCCGTGTATTTTAAAACCAGGGACGGAAGAAATGTAAGGGGTGAATGAGGTTTTGTCCCTTCCGCTTGTATGGAGAAACCTCTTGAAAATATGTTATTTTCCAAAAGGAATGTTCCCGCTGGGTTATGTGCAGACCGCTGTTCTACAGTATACGTGAGAGGCAGAAGATGAGCAGAACAAATTCCTATTGTGAGGAGTCGTAAAACTCCCCACAAATCTTGAGACAGGAGAGCCCCTAGCAACAGCGAGAATGCGGCAGAATCCAAGGGCATCCAGGTCCACCGGTAAATACTGGACCTTGGACCCAGCCAAAGCGGAGAGACCGCGAATAAACGGTGCCGCGCTGGACCTTGGACCCACGCCGCCAGAGGGCAATAAGGTCGAACGGTAAAGCCGTGGACTTTGAACCGGCGCAAAGAGGATGCACCGTGAATTAACGGGACATTTTAGTCCTTGGACCCTAGCGAGCCGTGTGCAAAAGGACGGCGCAGGCGCAGCTCGAGACAGACAACCAAGATACGCGAGCGAAAGTACAAGTGCAACAAGTGAACCAGAATACAAGTGCGAGGATTCAACTGAAACCGAGTGCTCAACGCCCAGATCAAGATACCAGAGTCAAGACGCTAGGCCAAGGCTGAGACTGCAACGGTGAGATCTGCAAGACACAGAGATTGGAGTGGAGACGAGTGCAGGACAGGAGCAGAGTCGAAAAAAGGACGAGCTACCGGCAGGGTAAGCGCGGATCAAGAGTTTGTGCCAGGCGTCGGGTTTACGGTAAACTGACGATAGATTTGACCTGTCGGGACATTTGTTTCTCAGGCTAGAGCCAGACCGACCCCAGGGAACACGACGGAACAGGTAATCCCAGGATCATTCTGGTCGGACCCGAAAGGAAGGTTGTACAAACTTTTGAGTCCTACAAGCCGGGTGGAACTGGAGAGACGCCGTTGGAGAATGACGCCGCAGGAGTCCACAAGCACCACGAAGGGAGACGAGAGCAGCGACACCGTCGAGGAGCGCCGCCGAGAAACGCACGAAGTGAATCTTGAGCCGAGGGAGGCACGTCGCCGACCAGGCGAGACGCAACAGCCAGCTGACGAAGAATTCCAGCGAAAAGAAAAATTTAATAAAGTTTTCCGATTTGTCCCAATCGGATATCTCTGCATTTTCTTGGGTCACGGGCAGTCACGCAATAAAAATTTGGTGGGATGAACACGCAATATCTCTGAGCTAGTCGCGGAGTTTACGTAGCTGAACAGCTGAAAACAGTTCGTTACACTATGCTCAGGTTCCGCGGTACACTTAAGAATACAAAAAACCGATGTTTGCCTACATTTCAACTTATGTGGCCTATATAATTGGACTAACCTTTATTATTATATAATACTAGTAGGTCTTGCCAATACAAAAATTTTATTTTACCACTTCGTGAAGAATTGATGAAGCAACATGGGGATAATTATTTTTTTCGGAAATCGCGTGTATTCCGGCGTACAGAATTTTTTTTATTTTAAATACCCTTAAAAAATACTACATTTTAAATTAAACGAGGACGGAAGCTAACTTCGGCAAGCCGAAGTTTTAATACCCTTGCAGATTTTACGAATTAAAACTTGACTAGACTAGCAACATGAATTAATAAACAACAAAATATTTTATAATTAAAAAAATAAAATTTTAAAATTTTTCACCCTATTGTTCCTATGGGAGCTATAGGATATAGACGCCCGATCGGCACGCGCGTTTACCCTAATGAAGGTACGCACAAAAAATACGATTTGGAAAGTTTCATGGGAATAGCTAATATTTTGCGCGAAATATCCTGAAAAACGTCAAATTTTGACCGATTTCACCCTATTGTTCCTATGGGAGCTATAAGATATAGACGTCCGATCGGCACGCGCTTTTACCCTGATCAAGGTACGCACAAAAAAATACGATTTGGAAAGATTCATGCCAATAGCTCTTACACTGAGCGAAATATCTTCATTTTTGTGAAAGCTATATCCGATTGTTCCTATGGGAGCTATAGGATATAGACGTCCGATCGGGTCGGCTTTCAAACTTGATCTGCGTACACATGTTTTAGGACGACTGTGAAAGTTTCAAGGCGCTAGCTTTTAAACTGAGCTCGCAAACGGTATTGAAACAGACATACAGACGGACAGACGGACAGACGGACAGACGGACAGACGGACATGGCTATATCCACTCCCCTATTGATCCTGATCAAGAATATATATACTTTATGGGGTCGGAAACGTCTCCTTCACTGCGTTACAAACTTCTGACCAAAATTATAATACCCTCTGCAAGGGTATAAAAATGTTTAAAAATATTTTTCTGAAAGATATCCCACAAAGTTGCATACCAAATATTAAAATAACTCAAACGAGTCTCAAGTGATGCATAACTGAAAAATCGGAGCTAATTACAAAAAAACCGATCCTCATATTTCCATACTCTATCGAAAAAAAAGTTTCGATTGATTCTGAGATTTGACCCAAATGGGCCTGTCACGTTTCACGTGGAATAAGCCTTTAGCAGTTCGATTCAGGTTTAATTTATTGAAATAAAATTAACTAATATTTTTAAAACCTTTTTTTATTTTAGGCAAGTAAGTTCGACTTTGAAAATTTTGTAACTCTGCTATTGCCTTCTATCGAGAATAAACCACTCGACGGCGATGCCCTGAACACCTTTAAGATGATGCTGCTGGAGACGGGACCAAAACTGCTGGCGGAGCACATAACCCGCATCGACATCGCCTTATTTTTGGACGAACCATCAAACGAGAAGGACTACTATCTGAGCTGTTCGGGCCTTGAGCTGCTGACACTGCCTCACGGTAAGCTATTCCGCGAGGATATCATCGAACGGACACAGTGTATTAAGCTGATGGTGGCCGTGACTATACTCACCTGTCAAACGGATCTGGATCGCGCCCAGCTACTAAGTAAATGGATTCAGGTAGCGGTGGAGACTAAAACGGCCCTTGGAAATCTGTTTGGGTTCTGTGCCATCATGTTGGGATTGTGCATGCACCAGGTAAATATTCTATGGGTGCAGCGAACTCAAAAAATATTACAAACTCCTTAAATGCTCTATGAGAAAAATACTTACACTTCCTTCTTTTGTCGCCGACAGATTAAGTTTTATGGATGCGTTGGTTAAAAAACTAAGTCTGAGAAAGAAGATATCGCACTTTGAGCGAAATTTTAATTGTTAAATACAATTCAATGACCAAAAAAATAAAACAACAAAATATATGAATAATTCTGAAAATAGTTAACTACTATTTTTCTATGTTGATTTTACATTTAGGGTGTTCAATTGCGTTGCAAACTTTGTAAAGTGTAAAAGTGTAAATCAATTCCTACAACAATTTCTATACAAAACAGTTTTAAAGGCCTACTTTTGAAAACTATTTTGTATAGAAATTGTTGTTGGAATTGATTTACACTTTTACACTTCACAATGTTTGCAACGCAATTGAACACTTGAACACTGGCACTTACAATTTTGGCAGTGGGCGTATCCCACTAAGTGGGTATCCGCTAATTATCGCTCTTTAGAATTATACATCCTTACAAAGTAATTGTGACTTTCTCTGAAAACATGTACACCGCTTAGTAAGGACGATAGCGGCAATCCGGCATACATATATGTATATTTTTCCGTATCCAGCCATTGCAACAGCTCTTTATTTCCGTGTAATTCAGTGCATTACTTTCACTTAATTTCCAGATTCAGAAACTTGACCAGGCATGGCACATTCTGAGGCAGCAGTATACGGACAGCGCCTTTACCTTCGAGGCCAAGCTACGTCCCACGCTGAGCATCATGAACGAGGCCTCTAATCCACAAGCTCCAAACACAACTGTTCCTCACGTTCTTCTGTACGCACTATTAATCGATCGACCAGTCATGGACATTATAAACCACTCGAACATCGACGATCGCCCGGCTCTATACCACACCTGTATAGCTCCTTGGGAATCCAAGGCTGACGATTTCGGCATGACCATTAATTTCCAACACCTGGATGCCTCGCGCGGCTTTCTAAAGAACTTGGATTTATATCGAAAGAATGCCAAGATCATACTTGAGGACGCCAGTCCTAGACTGGATGAGCTTCTAGCAGATGCTTTTCGGTAATATTACAGAATTCATTCCCCAGAACATTTATAAAAACCTTCGCTTTTATAGCACCGAGTTCCATGTAAAATTCCTATGGGGGAGTTCCGGAGCAACTGCAAAAGCGGAAGATCGTCACAGCAAGCTGGAAAAGGTGCTAACCCTGATGGCTGACAAGTTCTGCGTGATGGCCGAATAGTAATCTTAAAAATTATATGGACTATAGTTTCTAGCTGATAACCAATGAAATTACTGTAATCAATTTATCATTATACATTTTTTCACTTCTTATCTTTACGTTACTATTCACAATACCTCCAACCCCTCCGCAAATTTAAATTTCGTGCTGTCTCTACCTCAGTCGAGTATATTTAATTTCAGCAGAATCAAAAAAGCACCTTATTTATGTTCAAATATCCTTAGTTATGTCAAATTTAAAATTGTTTAAGAGGATCACAGGAAAACAGGGCCCCACTAGTTATCATTCGTGAGACACTCCAACTCCAAACTATTGTATTGTACTACCATTACCATTACTATCTATTACTTATTCTTCCTATTCTACACCCAGAAAAAAAAAGAACGAAAAAAATCAAGAACATTTTTCTTGATTTGCGAACAATCCGTTCTCCTTTTTTTGTTCTCACATTTTGAACGTTTGTTCTCAAATCTTCCTAATTCAACACCAATATGTTCTAAAAGTGACCCCATTCGTTCAAAGCATGCCAATATTTCGGTCAAATTTTATGACCAAGCGTTCATGAACTGACAACAAACGGGCTTACGCACTTTTCGACCCCGTTTGGGATTGATTTTTTAACGTTTCGAACGGATTTTTTTCTGGGTGTACTAATGATCAGACAATATACAGGGGTGGTCAAAAGTATTTGCACAAATTAAACGCACTTACTCATAATAAACGTGCAAATACTTTTGACCACCCCTGTACAGTAATCAAAACATCATACATAAACATACTATCACACATAATTATATAGGCATAACACAAAGAATGCATAATTTTTGCAATTTTATATTAGTAATGATAATGCTAATAAAAAAACTACTTAAACTCAACTACAAGACTATCTTAAACTTGGAGTTCAGCGACCTTTTGTTTACAGTATACAGTATAGAGACAGATAGGACTGACCCGCGAAAGATTGATATAAGCTTCCATCTCCCTCATACATAGGTTGAAACGGACGGATGGAACGGATATTATTATTTTTAGTCTTAATATTTTTGTGTTTTTAAAACCGGTTTAGCTTTTAAATAATAAAAAAATAATAATAATAAATATAAATATATAAATATATATATATAATAATAATATATAATAATATAACAATAATTAAATGAAAAAAAAAAACTAATCACAAAAATATTGCTTATCAATCTTGGCCTAATTAATATAATCAGCCGATACGTCGATTAACTTAAACAACGCTCTTGAATACTTATAAGCGAGCAAACCACTTGAATAAATGGCAAATATAACAACGATGAATTCAAAATGAATTACGATTAACAGGCGAAATGTGCAGCTTTATCATCCACTCAAGCGACGACCAACAAGTCTTATCGGGCCACCAGGAAAGGCGCGTCCAAAGTTCCTACAAGCCATACGAGACCACTTGCCCATTATCCATTACCCTTACATTGTGCTTCGGTCAGCACCAGCGAGCGGTTGTGCATTATTTTTCATCTATCCGAGTCGAGTGAGCTTTAAGCTTCTCCTGACGATAAGTTTGTAGGCTTTCTGCACGCTCTTAAGTCAGGCCTCAAAATGAGCAGCGGCTGTCGCTGCACTCGAAAGCTGACGATGGCCGTAAGTGGTTGTGTAATTATCGCGGTGATGGCCCTCACCGTTGGACTGTGTGTAGGTCTGAGCGGTGACAATGAAGCCCTCGAGGTAAGTCGTAGCTGGCTTATTCCACGTGAAACGTGTCAGGCCCATTTGGGTCAAATCTCAGAATCAATCTAAACTTAATTATACTTTATGTGGTCGGAAACGTCTCCTCCACTTGCGTTGCAAACTTTTGACTGAAATTATAATACCCTCTGCAAGGGTATAAAAATAAAAACCGAACCCTTTATTTCAATCCTGTATCGAAATTTCGATTGATTCTGAGATTTGATTAAAATGGGCTTGTCACTTTTCACGTGGAATAAGCCAGCTGTCAAACCAGATGATTTTATTGGCGGCAAACTTAGTAGGATTGTCAAACCGGTTTTCGACTTAAATCGCAAATTCCAACAGGACCAGACAAGATTTTCGATCGATCACGAGGCCAACACCTTCATCCTGGATGGCAAGCCCTTCCGCTACGTCTCGGGATCGTTTCACTATTTCCGGGCTGTGCCCGAGTCCTGGCGAAGTCGGTTGCGCACGATGCGAGCATCTGGTCTGAATGCTCTGGACACGTAAGTTAAATCGTTAAAAATAATAAAAGTCACAGACAATTTATCAACCATTAAAATTAAAACCCACTTGGATGTTGATTCTGATAAAGAATTCTTGATATATATATAGAGGCGAGGTCTGTAGTTTGAGACAATCTGTAAGCTGGGACCACCCATTTTCTCAAAACTTTTCCACTAAAAAAAAATTTTTTTTTTTGTGTTCTTTTTAGTAACAAAACTTTTGGGTAAAACATTAGAAGCCAGGCTTAAGCCAGATTTATGCTGCGACACTCGTGTACCATTTTCACCAAATAAAGTGACTACGTTTTCTAGAATTTGTTTCTGACTTTAAAAAAATCCTAAAATTATTCTAAGTATGGGGTTTGAAAGATAAAGAGTGTATCTTTTAAAAAACTTTAACATCGAATCAAAGAATGCATCCATTTGCCTCTGAGAGCTCCGCAAAGTTGCTCAATTTCAGCATTTTTCGAACTTTGAGGTCCTTTTGCTAAGAATCCTTGCGTCGGGGAACTTTTTGGAAAACGCAGTTTTGCTTGGGAATTCGTAACGAATCCAAAAATATAGCATCCATCGAGGTAAATTTTTGATGCTGCATAGTGTTAATAATAGGTCTAAGTTCTTAAAAAATGGACGGAAAATAAGTTAAAATGAACTATAATTGATTAAAATAACATAAATAACAAGAGAGAACGCTATAGTCGGGTTGGTGTCCCGACTGTTTAATACCCGTCACTCAGCACTCGGGTTCGTGTCCCGACTATAATCGTAGCTCAGCTAAAGGGAGTGCGAGGGAGATAGATATATGTAGATATTTTGATTGCGTATAACTTTTTAATGAATGGTCCGATTTGAAAAATGTCTTCTACATTTCGATAGGTATAAATATACACAACAAAATTGCATTTATACTTCTCGAAAATCTTTAAAGATGTGGGCGCAGGACACATTTTAAAATCGTTGGTGGGCGATTGTGGGCGTTAGAGGGGCGTGGCGCTCGGCTGAAATAAACTTGCGCTGCGTAGGAGGAAAATCTCAACCTTCTAGCTTTTAAAGTTTCCGAGATCTCAGCGTTCATACAGACGGACAGACGGACCGACGGACATGGCTAGATCGACTCGGCTATATATACTTTATAGTGTCGGAAACGCTTCCTTCTACCTGTTACATACTTTTGCACGAATCTAATATACCCTTTTACTCTACGAGTAACGGGTATAAAAATGTTCTGAAAGTTTGGAGTACTTTTGGTGTGAGTTTTATTGACTTTTAAAAGTGTCCCAACTTACAGACCACTTTTTGAGAGTGTCGTTTTTTGGCACTTTTCGAAAAAAATTTATTTTTTAGTTTTCCATAAAGAAAAAAAATTTGTTGTATTGTTTTTTTTTAAAGCTAATAGTTTTATAAGTGAATGTCGAAATGGGAGATCAAAAACAAAAGGTGTACCAACCTACAGACCTCTCCCCTACATTGTATATATTTATAGGATCTCCTTTACTGTTCTAAATTTCTGAAAAAAGTGATTACGCAGAGGGCATGGGCAAAAATAAGTCAATCGTTTATTCTTATTTTTAGGTATGTGGAATGGTCGCTCCATAATCCCCATGATGGTGAATACGACTTTGAGGGAATCGCAAATGAAGTCAAGTTCTTGGAAATTGCGCAGGAAGAGGACTTTTATATCATTCTCCGTCCCGGCCCCTACATTTGTGCTGAGCGAGATAATGTAAGGATTTAAGGGGCTGTCCGTATACATATAACGTAATCACCAAGTGGGGACCTTCTATGAAAAAAGGATTACATGGGGAAGAAGAGGTGGTCAAACTTATTCAAATTAATCTGATTAAATTTAAAAGTGGCATGTGCTTATGTGCATATTTTTATCAAAAGTAGCTCAGATCTTTACGTTTTTTGACTTTTTCTTATTGCAAGAAAATAGATTTAACAATAAGAAACTTGTTAACTTAGGTGAGGACAGAGAATCTGATTTACGAGTAAATCTTTTGTAAAGTGTCCTCCTGATTGAGTATAGAAGAAAGAAAGTATATTCATTACCTTTATAGGGTGGACTTCCCCACTGGCTGTTTGCCAAATACCCGACAATCAAAATGCGGACTAACGACGCCAACTACATCTCAGAGGTGGGCAAGTGGTATGCGGAGTTGATGCCACGCCTCCAACACCTGTTCGTGGGCAACGGCGGCAAGATTATTATGGTGCAGGTTGAGAACGAGTACGGGGACTATGCGTGCGATCGCGATTACCTCAACTGGCTCCGAGACGAGACGGAGAAGTACGTTTCCGGTAAGGCGCTGCTTTTTACGGTGGACATCCCCAACGAGAAAATGAGCTGCGGTAAAATTGAGAACGTGTTTGCAACCACAGACTTTGGCATTGATCGCAGTGAGTGAAGAAAGTGATGGTTACTCCAAAAACAAAGATTTTACTCAACGACATTGCAGTCCAAGAGATTGACAAGATTTGGGAAATGCTGCGTGTCTTGCAGCCTACCGGCCCACTGGTTAACTCAGAATTTTATCCTGGCTGGCTAACCCATTGGCAGGAGCAAAACCAAAGGCGTGATGGTCAAGAAGTGGCCAATGCGTTAAAGTAAGTTGAAACTGTAAAATAACTAAGAGTACGTCAATATACAACCCTAGTCAAAGATATTTTCACAAATTTGAATGTTAACTGTGCTCATATTTTGAACTTATAATATAAACATTTAGGCACCTATGGAAAGAGCACTTCAATTCCGTTTAAATGACACAAACATTTTCTTAACCCATTAAGCACCCTTTGAAAAGTTAGAAAATTAGACCATTTTTTTTTTTAAAGTCAAATTTTCAACTTTTGTCCTGGGGCTTAAAATAAAAATGTTTTGATGCAAAGTTGTTCCCCAATCAAAATTAATAATAACTGCAAAAAAACAAGAAAGGAAGCTACCTTCGGCCAGCCGAAGCTTATATACCCTTGCAGATAAAAGAATGCTCACTCGGTGCAGTTCCAGGGATTCCAGATTCAGCGTTTATTTTTTTTATTTAAATTTTGTTTTTAAGTAGTCAAGAATCAAAACGCCTACTTCCTACAAAGTTACAATGAATTTTCGTATACTTGTTTGAATATTCCTATAGGAGCCTTAAGATATAGTGGTCCGATCCGGATCGCTCCAACATATGTACTACCTGCAATAGAAAGAAGACTTTCGGGAAAGTTTCATCGCGATAGCTTTAAAACTGAGAGACTAGTTCGCATAGAAACGGACAGACGGACGGACAGACGGACATGGCTAGATCGACTCGTCTAGTGATGCTGATCAAGAATATAAATACTTTATGGGGTCGGAAACATCTCCTTCACTGCGTTGCAAACTTCTGACTGAAATCATAATACCCTCTGCAAGGGTATAAAAAGGCGTTTTGCGGTGTTCACTGTACCTCCGCTAAAAATGATCGGATTTCCATTTGGTTTTCACATTTCGCTTAAGAATTAAAAAATCCGCCCCCTGGGAAGCCCTTTTTATAATTTTTTATTTTTAACAATTTTTTCGAAAGTCCAAAGTATTTACCTAAAAAATCGGTTAAGCCGTTAAGAAATGCCGATGAACACGGACTTTTGAAACGTGGTTTCGAGTAAAACACACTTAAAGATGCCCTTAAGTCTTAGAGGTTAGGGTACTAATTATACCCTTGCAGAGGGTATTATGATTTCAGTCAGAAGTTTGCAACGCAGTGAAGGAGACGTTTCCGACCCCATAAAGTATATATATTCTTGATCAGCATTACTAGACGAGTCGATCTAGCCATGTCCGTCTGTCCGTCCATCTGTCTGTTTCTACGCAAACTAGTCTCTCAGTTTTTGAGCTATCGGGATGAAACTTTCCCAAAAGTCTTCTTTCTATTGCAGGTAGTATATATGTCGGAACCAACCGGATCGGACAACTATATCTTATAGCTCTCATAGGAAGAATCGGAAAAGAAAACGTTAAAAAAATTCTAGCTTCGGTGTTTTTTGTAATATTACCTTCTACTTTTGGGGATGTTATTTTTTAAATATTTCTGAATTTCGAATTAAATATTTAAAAAGTCGGACTACTATATCATATAGCTGCCATAGGAACGATCGGTAAATTAATGGAAAAGTAATAGGAAATAAATTCTAGCTTCTTTGGTTTGTATTGTATTATCTTCTACTCTAGGATATGACTCTTTTTAAATATTTCTGAATTCCAATTTTAATTTGATCAAAATCGGACGACTATATCATATAGCTGCCATAGGAACGATCGGAAAATTAATGAGAAATATTAGAAAATTGAACATTTTTGCGATTTGTTAATTAATAGGAATGATCTGCAAGGGTATATAAGCTTCGGCTGGCCAAAGCTAACTTCCTTTCTTGTTTTAGAATAACTTCTAAAGTTTTTGTGCGATTGACTTTGAGTATATAAGTCGGAACCGACCGGATCGGACAACTATATCTTATGGCTGCCATACGAAGGATGGGAAAAAAAAACAACAAATATTACCTTCTACTATTGGGGATATTACTTTTTTAATTTTTTATAATTTCGAATAAAATATTAAAAAAAATCGGGCGATTATAGCATATAGCTGGGAAAGTAATAGGAAATAAATTTTAGCTTCTTTTGTTTTTATAGTATTTTTTTCTACTCTAGGATATGACTCTTTTTAGATATTTCCGAATTTTAATTTTAATTTTATCAAAATTGGACGACTATATCATATAGCTTCCATAGGAAAGATCGAAAAATGATTGGGAAATTAATTTGAAACAAATTAAATCTCCGTTGGCTTTTATTGTATTCTCTATTACTCTAGGATATGATTTCTTTAAATATTTCCGAATTTGGAATTAAATTTAACAAAATCGGACGACTCCATATATAGCTGCCATAGGGAAGGATAGAAAAAAAAATGTCACAATAATACGAAAGGATAAATGAATTAAAAACTCAAAGGATCTTGAAATATAAATTAATTTTTGATTTAACTAAAAAAATGACCCATGGGAAGTGCATATTTTTTCGCAGATTCAGCTCATCCAGAGCTCTCGAGAGCTAATGATTATGAATTAAAGGTATCTTAACATTACCACAAAACAAAATTGGAAGTCAACACAACGAAAAAATTTTAGAAAACACAATATTTTTAGACGAAACTACGCAAAAAGTCCTTCCCAAGGGTCGAGAGTAGTTTTTACTTGGCAACGATAACAAAAGGCATTGTATCCATGTAAAGTTAACAAAAGGGTAGTCATGACAAATTAAAAAAAAAGTTATTGGCCAGTATGTTCATTTATTCGATTTTTTTGTTAACTGGTTGAAGTAAGCTGTGGCCTTTTTTTGGACTTTTTTTGTAATTAATTCAAAAAAAATATTTGTAAAATATTTAAAAAACCATAAAATAATTAAACACTAATGTGTATCATCATAGATGTGTTCTGCGTTTAAATTTTTTTTATTTTTTTTTTTTGGGGTTGGGCTCGAGTTAAGCTAAAATATTTTTATTTTTTTAATTTATTTGATTGTTTTTATCCCAGCCCTACAAGCATGTAGCATACTTATAAATAAAGGCGCTAGTCACATGTTTTGATAATATGTTTTGTTTAGTTTTTATGGGCTGTTAAAGTTTTTGATGTAGACTGGTTGAAATAAGCTGTGGACCACTATGTATATACTTTATGTGGTCGGAAACGTGTCCTTTACAGCGTTGCAAACATCTGACTGAAATTATAATACCCTCTGCAAGGGTATAAAAAGAGATAATGATATTGTCGAGTGCCTCGACTATCAAAAACCCGTTACTCAGCTAAATGAATGTTAGAATGATGAAGATAAAGTGGCGCAATCTAACGGAAACATAAATAAGTGGGCCGATTTAAAAAAATGGTTATACTTTTCGGTAGGGATTACTAAACCAAAAAAAAAACGCATTTCCACTTTATCAAAATCTGTTAAGATTTTTAAGAAAGTTTGTGTTTTGTTTTTAAGAAAGTTTAAAGCAATTGTGGGCGTAAGATTGGGCGTGGCCTTGGCTAAAACAAACTCGCGCTGAGTAGGAACCCCTAGAATCTGCATGCTTAGTCCCAACCATATAGTTTCATAGATTCAAAAATCTCAGCGTTGGACTTGGCTAGTGATCCTGATGAAGAATATATAGGGTTGGATACGCTTCCTTCTACCTACCTGTTTATCCCCAAAACAATATACACCTTTACTCAACGAGTAACGGGTATAAAAACCTCGAATTTATACAAAATACAAGATAATTTCCCATAAACGGCTAATGGTTCTGCAAAACCTGCTGCATAATATGGTTTAATTTTAATATACTACTTACGTATCTTTTAATGATTCCAGGACAATTCTCAGCTACAACGCCAGTGTCAACCTATACATGTTCTTTGGCGGCACCAACTTCGGATTTACTGCCGGGGCCAATTACAATCTGGACGGAGGTATCGGATATGCAGCGGACATTACAAGTTACGACTACGATGCGGTGATGGACGAGGCCGGAGGAGTAACAACGAAGTATGACCTTGTCAAGGATGTAATTGGTCAGTTCCTTCCGCTGCCCGAAATCACGTTGAGTCCCGCCAAACGCCTCGCCTACGGAAAGGTGGAGTTGACACCCAAGTTGACGCTGCTTTCGGCGGAAGGACGGGCTGCACTCTCCAAAGGTGATCCTGTAGAGTCGACCAAGCCAAAAACCTTCGAGGAATTGGACTTGTACTCGGGCCTAGTTCTTTACGAAACAGAGCTCCCGAGCATGGACCTGGACCCTGCTCTATTAAAAATAGATCAGATTAACGACCGAGCACTTGTATTTGTAGACCAGGAACTTGTAGGAACACTCTCCCGGGAGGCTCAGATCTACTCGCTGCCGCTCAGCAAAGGGTGGGGAAAAACTCTCCAGTTACTAGTGGAGAACCAAGGACGCGTTAACTTCTACATCTCAAATGACACAAAGGGCATTTTCGGTGATGTGAGTCTCCAGTTGCACAATGGTGGGTACCTGCCCCTAGAAAACTGGCGGAGCACCGCTTTCCCGCTGGAGCAATCAACCATCGAACTCTGGCGTCGCAATCACAGTCAGCAGAACAGTTTGGACTCTTTTCTAGCTAGGCAACGCATTCTTCGCAACGGGCCTATTCTCTACACTGGCAGTCTGACGGTGACAGAGGTGGCCGACACCTACCTTAACATGGCCGGTTGGGGCAAGGGCGTGGCCTATGTAAACGGATTCAATCTCGGACGCTACTGGCCCGTAGCTGGTCCACAGGTTACTTTGTATGTGCCTAACGAAATCCTCAAGGAAGGCGAAAACTCGCTGGTCATCCTCGAGTACCAACGCGCCAATAAGTCAGCGACAGGCGATGACCTGCCGGCCGTGCAGTTTGACGCATTGGCTCAGCTGGATGGAGAGTCAGGAGATGTTCCGCTCAAGTAGTGGATTTATCCGTCAATTTGTATTTGATATTTCTTTATTCGAAGCAGTTTTGATTGATTTTTGTGTCAACAACCTTTGTTAAGCATTAATATACAAATGTATGTAAATCTAACTCTTATCATATTTCTACATAAATATTAGCTGATGCTTGCTTGACTGACTCGATCTTATTTTCAGCTTATTATCAATTGACTTTATTCGTTACATAACAGTATAATGTTAACTATTTTAATTATATTTTTTTAAACTTTTATTGTGTCCGACATTTTATAATCATATATTTTATAAAATTGCGATCGTATTTTGGCCAGATGTTTGTAAAGACATAACAGACATTTAATATAAACAAGAAAGGAAGTTAACTTCGGCCAGCATAAGTTTATATACCCTTGCAGAGAGTATTATGTGAAGGAGACGTTTCCGACCACATAAGGTATATATATTCTTGATCAGCATCAATAGCCGAGTCCGTCTAACCATGTCCGTCAATCCGTCTGTCCGTTTCTATGCAAACTAGTCTCTCAGTTTTAAAGCTACCGCGATGAAACTTTCCCAAAAGTACATATGTCGGAACGAGCCGGATCGGACCACCATATCTTATGACTCCCATAGAAAAAACATTGTAGAAAGTAGGCGTTTTGATTTTTGACATTATAAAAACAACATTTTAAGTAGGCAAACCTGCAAGGGTATATCACTGCCTTGCAAAATTTTGACTGAAATTATAACACCATCTGCAAGGGTGTAAGAAGTAGGAAAGATAGATGCCCAAATAGTAAAAGGGGCACAATAGTATATGACCCTAGCGGCCAAACGGATCGTTTAAATTGTGCGCAGTGTTAACTGAAGGTTTCTTAGAATACCAGAAGGCTGCATTAAATTTGAGCTTTAAGCGCCATCAGTTGAAGAAATTACGAACAATTTCCGACAATGTCAAATTTGTGAAAATAGTCTCATTGCGTTCGGGACATTAGTCGCTCGCCAGATTTTTTGAAAAAATTATTTCCTGGAGGCAAATTTTGTGCCCAAAGGGTTCCTCTTACTAAATATTCTCTTGGTCTTAAATCTTAGTGGTCTTTAGCAAAACTTTAAACATTTCTTTTGGGGTCAAAATAGTAGAGGCTACTATATGATGACACATGGTCCTTATTTCATTTTTTATGACATATGCAGGTTGGTAGTCGCAGTATTGGTTCCGCTTATGGTCGAATCTGCAAGCGAGAGCTCGATGCGTCGGATTGCAGTCAAGCTGAGCAAAAGGGTAGCGGTTAAGGGCGGCAAAACAAACAGTTTACAACACGATTTTTTTAAGGAATAATGGAATTGTGGACATTAAGAAAGAAAAACAAGAGAGAACGCTATAGTCGGTGGGTGTCCCGACTATCTGATCTATCTCAGTTAGCAGTACGAGGGAGATAGATATATAATACTTTGATTGCGCATAACCTTTTAACGAATGGTCTGATTTGAAAAATGTCTTCTACATTTCGATAGGTATTTTTTAACACTTTAAAATTGAATTTATATATTTTTAAAATCTTAAAAGATGTGGCCGCCAGACACATTTTAAAATCGTTTATGGCGATTGTGGGCGTTAGGGGGGCGTGGCACCTCAATGAAACAAACTTGCGCTGCGTAAGAATCCCAAGAATATGTGTGGGAAATCCCTACCTTCTAGTTGTAGTTTCCGAGATCTCAGCGTTCATACAGACAGACATACAGACGGACAGACAGACATGGGTAAATCGACTCGGCTTATGATCCTGATCAAGAATATATATACTTTATCGAATACACGAATGCTCTACGAGTAACGGGTATAACAATAAACTTTCAAAAATATGGACCTCCGCGTCAAAGAGCTATAGCCGCATTTTTAATAGCAAAGGAAGGTCAAAAAAGAAACACAACTAATATACACCATTTTAGATCGAAGGATTAGTGTCGAAGGAGTCCAATAAAATTGTATGTAAATTATCTCTTTTACCCTATACCGTTAACAGCGAAAGTAAGTTTTGCACTGCTATTACTCCAGTACTGGGACTAGACTAGTTTAAAAAGGATGTTAACATTTCGCAACGTTACTCGAACGCTTTGCAATAGACTTTAGAAAAAAAGGTATAGCCAAAGGAACAGCCTTTCCGAAGATACCAGTCTCATTCCAATGGCTCTTTGTTTATAGCTGCTATGTCTAACACAACTTTTCCTATTATTAGAGCCCTTTTCTCTCATACATTTTTTTTTACAGGAGTCTACATTTATATGTCCGTATGTTTCAATGCTATCTGGACGACAGATTTCTGATTTCCGATAGAGGAACGGTTTAAATAAGGAGAACCATATAATGACATTGAGAAAACTTTTGACATTGTCTTCTATTTTCTAGTTTGATTCATTAAGGTAGATAGTCTTGAGAATTATACGCAGGTCATACTGACTAATTGGACTTACAAACTTTAACGGCAAATAGCTGTATCAGAAATCTGCGAATCGAAAGAGAATATCATATAGCTTTTATAAAAACAATCTAGCCAAATCAATTATTAATACAACTTCAAGTCTACGTATGTTAATTTAAATCAGTAATAGCATTGATTGTGGAAAGTATTTTCTGGTATTTTAATTTTGAGCATTGCCACAATTTCAGTTTGGTGTATTTAATGTCACTATTACTGTTGAACAGCATTATTATTATGGCCTATTTTAAATTAATAAACAAGAGAGAACGCTATAGCCGGGTGCTCCGACTATCAAAATCCCGTTACTCAGCTAAAGGGAGTGCGAGGGAGATGAAGATACAAAACTTTGATCGCGCATAACTTTATAAAGAATGGTCCGATTTAAAGAATTTTTTCTACATTCTTATAGGTATTAATAAACACAATAAACTGCTTTATACTTTTCCAAAATTATTAAAGGTGTGGTCGCCAGACACCTTTTAAAATCATTTTAGGCGATTGTGGTCGTTAAAGAGGGCGTGGCCCTCGACTGAAACAAACTTGCGCTGCGTAGTAAGCCCAAGAATATGTGTGGGTAATCCCAACTTTCTTGCTTTTGTAGTTTCCGAGATCTTAGCGTTCATACAGACAGACAGACAGGCTTGGCTAGTGACCCTGATCAAGAATATATATACTTTATAGGGTCGGAAATGGTTCCTTCTAGCTGTAACATGCTTTTGTACGAATACAATATACCCTTTTACTCTACGAGTAACGGGTATAATAAGTTGAAGACTGGGTTATACAATTTTTAATAGACAAGAATTTTTATAGAGTACTCAAAAATAGGTTTCACCTTATATTACAAAACAGTTGTTGACCATGTAATAATCTATTCAGGGCAGTGGTGTACATACATATGAACATTTGTAGACAAAAAAATAAGAATATTACAATTTAGAAAGGGTTTTTAAAATATTTTTAACAAATATTAGTCTTCCCAAATTACATATGCTTGTCAAATAGATTCAAAAAGGTACAGGAGCAGTTCTTATTTTTTCTTATAAATCATATTATATTTTGTTGTAGCAAATAAACTAACATTAGCTTAATCTTTGCTCAAATAGAACTGGTTTTTGCAAAAATATATATAAGCTTACAATTTTTTGTGCACTAATTTAAGCTCATTAATATTAATTAGCAAGTTAGCTTGTTTTTTTTTTTCGTTTTGTGTTTGTAAAACTCCTACACAAAAGGAGGTTGTTCTTCGCTTATAAAAATATCTATGTATTAAAATATTAATTTGAACACAAATACATGTTGTGGTAGGTTTGTTTTTGTTCAGTTAAGAAATGAGTTTCGTGCTATTTTCATTCGATTTGCTGAAAATGGTTGCATTTATGTTCGGTTTCTCTATACATTTCTTTAAAAATATATCACAGCTGCATTTCAAGATACATTTTTCACTTTCCTTGTAAAAAGTTTAGAAAATCTATTTCAAATGTTTTGTTCTTATTTTCGTATTTCTTTTTGAGAAAAGGGACGCCGACTTAAAAACAGCAACAAATTTGGCAACCTAGTTAATATTAGTCAATGTCCACGAAGACGGAATGCATTTTCTTTAGTTAGACACATATGTATAGGACACGGGTAAATACGGAATTTATAGAATAGTTAACTAACCGGAGCGCAGAGTAGTAGTTACAGATTCTTGTTCAAGGTAGGAGATGCTCGAAGTTGCTTACCCAAAAGTTCCTTCAATCCTCCGCCGCGTAGGATGTCTTTCTAAATAGCTGTTGGGGCAGCAAGAGCGATTTGTCAGTGCCACTTTGACTTTTGAGTGTAGATATCGACGCGTAGGTTCTGAGCAAAGCAAATTCCCAGGATCTAAAACAAGGTTCGAGCGTTTAAAATTTGCCTAACTTTTGACATGGTAAAAAAAATAATAAAAAGAAAAAATCTTAATCAAACAGAGACCTGAAAAAACATTACAACAATAACAGCGGTGGAAATAATAATCAAATTGTGTTCCATCCATTCTTCTCCAGCTTGAACACAGCCCTTTTCATAGATTATTTTAGACAGCTCCATGCCCTGGCAAGAATAAAAAAAAGAGAAAGAAACCCAAATCAGTACAAATTAAAAACTAAAAAAAATGTGAAATGTAAAACAAAAATATATACAAAATGTATATGTAGATAGCCTTTAAATTTAAATTAAATTAAATTATAATATAGAAAAAGCAGACGGACATGTCCTTATGCTGTTTATAAACACACATGTGAAAACGTCATCCGCCCTTGCGTTACAAAATTATAGATTGTAATATGAGGGGATAATAAATTCACACCCAAGAAAATGATAAAGGTCTTTTTATGCACCTGCACGACTAACAAGGCCACGCAGCAAGTCGCCACACTAATTAGATGTGCCTCCAGCCAATCTTCGCCAGCGCGCAAACACCCACGTTCATGAATGTTCCTATCCACAGGCTGCATGCGTACATTTAGTGAATGAAATACGAGGACCATTTAAAGTAGTCGGGAAAACTCAACCTGCAGACTTACATATCCCTCCTTGCGCACATCGTAGCCGCATTGCTTGTTCTTGATTAGCTCATGGGGACGCCTGCGACAGCAGGAGAATGGCACTCCGCACGCCTCCCTGCTGCCAATAGCGATGGACGAGCAGTTAAAGTAGTTGTTGCTGTCCCAGTCCTTAGGTCCATCAATGCCGCAGCACTGTAACCAGTCCTCCTGGATCCAATCAATGAGATTCTGTTGGTCTGCGTCCTCACGATAGTGACGGATAAAGGCCTTTAATCCCTCGGTGGCCTGGTCCTTGATCTGGGAATGGCAAATCTTAATATAGGCTCGCCTGACTAAAAAGCATTCATTTGGAACTCACCCAGCCCTTGTCCTTAAGCACGAAAGCCACGGCACAGAATCCGATCTCGGCGAGGAGCAGGACACTCAAAAATATAGCATACTACGGAAAATGGCAGAACGATTAGCTGGGCTCAGATAATCCCACAGACAATGGAATACTCACCGCCGCCAAGAGACAAGTGTTCTCGCGCAAGGCGCCCACGCTGCCCATAAAGCCCAGCAGGAAGGTTACGCCGCCCAGGATGATCAGGACAAAGGCAGGGTCCAGAGCGATGAAGTGCAGGCGAGTAATGTTGCGGAACATGTCCTTCTCACTCCAAGCCCAGATGCCAACCGACAGGACTAGCAGGGCTGAGATCCAAAGGATAACATTGCTGGCGAACAGAAGGTACTTCAGGCAGCAGCTGATTTCGCTGGTCTCGCGGCGGAACTTGCGCACAGCAGCTGGCATTGCTCCAATTTTAACAATAATAAATATAGCCAAAATTAAACAGTGTGACCGTGGGTGCACTATTACAAGTTGGCCTAATGGCCAGGTGTAAATATACCGAAACTGTTCAGTACCGACCATCTTTACGTCAGCAAGGGAAATGAAAATTTGCAATATTATTAGGGTATTCCCTAAACTGTTGAATTGCTAAATTGTTGAAAATTCAACAAAAATTTCAGCAATTAAGGGATCGACAGAAAATGGTTCCTGTTGAATTTTCAAACAGCTGTTATTTGTTAAAAAATTACACGGAACTTAAAACATGTAAATTTTTATTTATTATTGCTATTGTTACGAACTGCTAATTTTCCTTTTGGCAGTGCCGCTAGCTCAGTTTTCCCTCAGGGCGGAGTCCCCCTAATGCCACAGCTCGCAACATAAATATCGACAACTACGCAGTCTCACATCACTAAACTATCGGTCATCACTACATATAAAACGTAAACAAAGGCAAATAACTACAAGTGACGGGAAGTATTAATTGTTTTGGTGGCTATTGATGACCTAGCCAAGCACGCCCACCCAACCAAGGATGCCCCGGAGGATTCCGCAGAGGCATCACCCATTCTTGGTCTGCCGGAGTCACTCCTCGCGCCTACGACAGCTCCATCTCCCCCACAGTGACGACTTACTCACGCATTTCGGTCTTCAATTACATTTAATATCGGTGGTAAGTACAAGTGTTCAAGTTTAACATCACTATTGTTGTTCTTGCATTAATTCATTTATCTTTCTTCAGCCTTTAATATCACAGTTGGCCGCCGTTTCAATACTTAGGCGGTCAAAGCAGAGGAACTTGCTTCCCTGGGAAAAGTCTGCAGGCGCCGCGTAACTATACTCCACCAGTCATTTGTTGGTGGAGCTCACACTAAAACGAGGCGCAAATAAGACACACTATCTGTGTGTCGGGTCACCTAATCCAAAGGAGCTCCTGGGGAAAAGAAGGGACATGCCAAAGATGTAATTGCGCGCTGCAATCTCCCCCACCGAAAACTAAGGCTCGCGACCCTTTCAATAGGCAACACTGAGGACAACTATGGTTTTAGGGTCTGGATCCGGATAAATTTACAAGTAACCACGGGAAGTATTCCCATTAATATTTACAAAGATATACTTATGACTAATTATTATAATTTTCCGCCACTTCTAGGCTAGATATATGGCGATATTCTATCCCGGACGAGGGCTATTCCGCTGGAGGCCAGCGGCCGTTAAAGCCTGGAAAGCCCCGAGGAATGGTGATGGTCTATAAAATGGCGTGGCCGTTCACCGCCGCGCAAATTGACGCCGTTGGACCCGAAGGCGAGAGGGACTGATACCCCGGAACGGACTCACCGGAGATCGGCTACCTGGCGTGGACGGCGTACGAGGAAGGCAGGGTAGGAGTCGTCTAGCTGAGTCCAAACGGCTTCAGGGATATAACCACCTCAGGCTCTCGGATCCACTTCAAGGTGTGTATGGGTTGTAGGAGAATTTCCAACCTCACTTCCAAAATGTATTTCCAAAATAAATCTTCTGGGATAAATCTTCCGGGGCCCTTGGTGTTGGGACCCCGGTTGCCCTGCAGACAATTATTTGTTAATACCGTACACTAATAAACCTAACACGCTAACACTCACTTTTTTTTGTTTTTTTGCACAAACACTTGTTCAAGTAACTCCCGCTGCGTCCAGCTTCTGGGACAATATGGCTGCGACTATTCTAATCTGCCTATCATCATGGCGGTCTTGCCATATTCCCTTGCCTCTCCCAAAACTGGGTCATCGGACGGATTCAAGGCCACGGGAGAGTAGTCCCTGAGCGAACAGGGATTACTCCAAATGGCCAGATCGTCCTCCAGATTCCCCACAGGGGGGCGCCACCAAAACCATCGCCTTATCGTCCTGACCTATCGATAAAATCTATCTGACAATCGACTCCAACTGCAACACCAACCAAAGATTTCGAGAGGCGCTACCCGGAGTCCCAGCAGAACGACGAAATAATTGGTAGCTTTGGAGATACGGCAGGAATCAACACTGCACTGACATCGTCCTGCAGTTCGAACGGCGCCTTACGCGGGGCCCACGCATGACGGGAAGTATTGATGATGTTGCTGCTATGCTTGTGTACTTTGTGTGTCCTTTTTTGCAGATCACAGCCGGATGTCCTTAGCGTGATACACTCCCAGACTGCGGCCCTGAAGGTCCTCCAACAAGTATGCATTGCCGCCAACAGATTTGACCACCCTGGCCTTCAGGAACTTGCGAGCAAACTTCGCATTGAAGGATTTGCTGAAGTCACTCAGCACGAAATTGCGGCGGAAGACTTCTTGACCTGGTTTGGCGAGTAGCGTACGGGCTCGCTTATCATAGCGTTGTCGGCTCATCTCATATGCGCCCTTCAGCTGCTTCTGAACCTTGGCATGGATTATCCGAAGCTTGTCCTTGGTCTGCATTCCCGCCATCTCGTGGTCGCACAGGGACCGGAGTTGTCTGGCTAACTTGTAGCTGGAACCGTTGAGGAACATATGATGGCCGAATACGGTGAAGAACGGCGCTTCTCCTGTAGCAGAGTGGACAGCGTTCCGGATGGCCACTTCAATCTCCGGCAGATGTGCATCCCATTCCCGGTGGTCTTCGTCCAAGAAGCTGCGAATCGCTGCCAAGACGCTACGGTTAACCCGTTCCGCTGCATTGCTCTGAGGTGAGTATATCGGAGTCCTGATGTGCTGGATACCGAAGCCATCTATCAACTCCTCGAACGCCTTGGATGTGAACTGCTTCCCATTATCCGAATGTATAATTTCAGGCACACCGAACTTGTAGAACACCTCATTCACCAGGAAAGTCACCACGTTTGACGCCGTCGCATCCTTCATGGCCTTTAGGAAGGTGTACTTGGAGAAATGGTCCACCACGATGAAAATCCACGCGTGACCACTCTTAGACCTCGGATACTTGCCCAGGAAATCGATGTAGAGTTTCTGGAATGGCCTTTCCGTCTCTACCCGTTTCCCAATTCCCACCTGCATCCTGAAGTTCGGCGCTTTGGACTCCTTGCACACCTCGCAAGCCCGGACGTATTCACGCACCTGGATAGTCATCCCGGGCCAATAGAACTGGCGTCGTATGGTCTCCAACGTCTTCGCCATTCCACCATGGCCAGCCTTGGGGTCGGAATGGGCACGCTCTATCAGGCTGTGCGTTAGGCTCTGCGGAATCCACAGCTTCCACTCGGATCCTTCCAGTTCATCATCCAGATTCGGATTACCCAAACGCTTGAAAATCAGCCCGCCGTCCACTTTGAGGTCCGGTAAGTGCTCCCTGTTGGACTCTACATCTTGCACTAACTCCAAATAATCCTCTGCAGCAAACTCGGTCGTCTCGAATCCTAATAACTCCGTTGGATCTATGAGGACTTCCTCGATGCAGCGGGAGAGAGTATCGGCAACTACGTTCTCGCTGCCTTTACGATGCTCAATGCCGAAATCGTAACCCTGCAGCTGGAGAGACCATCTCGCAAGTCGTCCTGACAGATCCTTCATCGTCATCAACCACTTCAGACTGGCGTGATCAGTGATGCATGTGAACGGCATCCCCTCCACATACGGTCTGAATTTTCGAATGGCTAGGATGGCTGCCAGACACTCTTTCTCCGTGACCGAGTAGTTCACCTGGTGCTTGTTCATCTTGGCCGAGAAGAACGCGATGGGTTGCTCGTCTCCGTCCTGGTTCCGCTGAAACAAAACTGCACCGACGCCAACGTGGGATGCGTCGCACTGGATGAAGAAATGTTTCTTGAAGTCCGCATGAACCAGGACCGGCGCGCTCGTCAAGGCCAGCTTTAGGTCATCGACTGCCTGTGTTGCGCTGGGATTCAATGAAAACCTCGTGCTTCCCGTCTTCTTTAAGGCTTCGGAAAGCGGTGCAGCCAGCGTGGCGAAGTTCTTCACGAATCGTCGATACCACCCAGCAGTGCCCAGGAAGGCTCTTACTTCCTTCATGGATTTCGGGTAAGGCATCTTCTGAATTGCTGACACTCGTCCAGGATCCATCCGCAGGAGTCCACCTCCGACTATAAACCCCAGGTACGTTAAAGACTTAAAGCAGAATTTCGACTTCTTTAACCCTATCGTCAATCCTGCTGCTTTCAGACTTTGGGCTACGCGAAGCAAGTACTTCAGGTGCGTCTGGAAATCTGGAGCGAGGATTAGGAGATCGTCAAGGTAGACGAAAACGTTGGATCTGAGTTCCGCTGGTATCACCCGATCCATAAGTCGCACCAAGCGTTGCGCCGCGTTGCACAGTCCAAATGGCATCATCCGGAACTGGTACAACGGTCTGCCTGGAACCGTGAACGCCGTATACTCCTTGCTTTTGTCCTCCAGTTCGATCTGCCAGAACGCAAACTTGAGATCTACGCTGGAGATGTAATGCGTCTGATCTATCCTGGAGAGGATTCCATCTATACTGGGCAAGGGATACGCATCCTTGACTGTCAGCGCGTTCAGCTTACGGGCGTCCAGACAGAACCTGTCTTTCCCGGGCTTCGACACCACCGTTGTGCGATTGCTCCACGGGCTCTTGCTCTCCTCGATGACCCCCAGTTCCAGCATCTTATCGATTTCATCCTCGACCACCTTTTGCTTTGCCGGAGACATCGGGTACGGACGATCCTTGAACACCCGGGCTCCCACGATCAGCTCAATGGAATTCTTTTCCAGGTTGGTGGTCCCTAGACCATCCCGTTCAAAGGTAAGAAACTCCTCCTTGACCTTCTCTAATGCCTCCTTTTCCTCCGCAGAAAGTCTCCAGCATTCGGGTTCCTCCTTCGTCTCGTCCTCATCCTCCTGATCGGCGTAGTGTTCCATCTGGCTGGCATGGATTTCTTCAGCTGCCTTCACGACTCTCGCCACCGGGTTTCCTAGGACGGCTGGGGCTAGTCCGAACGCACGCCAGAAGTCGACTCCAAAATACGCGGCTTGTTCCAGGTATGGGCAAAGGTAGAACATGATCAGCTTACTCACGCCTTTGTACTTCACAGGTAGCTCCACGCGTCCGATAATTGAACGATCCTCGCCAGAAGCCGTCCGGACCACCGAGAAATACGGCTGAGCCGTCACCCCCAGCGTTTCCAAGAGCTCTCTACAATGTCTGCCCAGCACGCTAACACTAGCCCCCGTGTCCAGCAAGCCTTTGAGCTGCTTGCCCATGATGTCCACGTCTGCAAAGGGTCTCGGATCTCCGGAATCGATCCGCTTCACGGCAGCCACTACCTCTCGTCGTCGGGATCTCCGCTGCCTAAAGCGTTCCCTTGCCTTCTGGACTCTCCGTGAGACGATACGCATGCCGCTCAGTTGATGGTCTGCAAAGATCCTGTTTCGCGCTTCCATATATCGCCGTAGCCGTTCTTCAGCCGGTAGGTACCTTAACCAGTACTTATTACTATTCGCTTGGCTATATATGTGATTATTTATTACGTTATTGTCTATCTTAGGCACTACTTCGTGGGATTCCAATCTGGGCGAGTCCCTCCCACTTTTTGACTGCCCAGTCGACCGTTTTCCGCACACTCTGGGCATTTTGGTGTAATGGTGTCCGGTCTGCCGCACTTGAAGCAGAACCTCTTCCACTCCGTGGACGGGCAGTCTCGGAATCCGTGCTCCGCGGCTCCGCAATTCCAGCAGCCTGGCTTGAAAGGATTTCTAGGCCGTCCACGGATCTCGTCCACTTCCAGGATCTCCTGCTCGTCGACTTCGTCCGGTATGCGCGCTTCGCTGACCCGCAACTTGTTCAGCTGCCCGTACGCAGCGCGTCCTCGACGACCGAACGTCTTCTCCACTTCGACGCACTCCTCCCGAAGTTCATCCACCGTGAGTACGTCCATTGCGTAGACAAACCTGGCTATCCCATCCCTCAAGCCCTTTTTCACCACCTTCACCAATTGCCGCTCTGGCATTGGTTTTTTCAGGCGGGAGGCGAGTTGCTGAATTGCGTGAACGTAGTCATCCACGCCTTCTCCTGGCTGCTGCTCACGCTGTAGTAGCTCGTGCATCCGTCAAAGGAGACATTCCAGCGGTCCACTCGGATCCATCGGTTCCCGTTGCCAGCTCCCGAGTTGGCGTACAGCCGCGGCTCGTCCCTAAAATCATCAGACCTGCGATCCTCGACACGCCAATGCCGAGCGTGGCGATCGTTCCGGCCTGGCGGATGATACTCCGGTTCCTGGCTCAGGCTGCTGTCGATTCCCGGAGACTCGTCCACCAGTAGCCGAGGCCGTTGCCTGGGTGGCAGCTCTGGAGGCCTTCGGATGCCTCTGTCCGTCTCTTGCCGCTGATGGACTTCGCCAGCTGCACCACTTGGGGCGACTTCTGGACCCGTGGACCTGGCCAACAGTGATCCTTGGCGATCCTCGCTCTCCTGTAGCGGCTGCGGTCTGCTCTCGGCTGGCCGAAGGACGTCGTTCAGCAACTTCATCATGTCCATGAATCCGTTCCTGATCTCCTCCCTCAACGTCTGGCTAACCCCAGACTCCTGGGACGCGCGGTATGTTTGTGCCGCTTGTGCTAGCGCTGCATTCGCCGCCGATTCAGCTGCCGAATCCCGTTCCAGGTTTGGCTCCTGAGGATCCTTCTTCTCCGAAACCGCCAGTTTATCCCGCGCCTCGAAGAACCCCTTGAAATCGAGATTTCTGGGCGACCGATGCTGTTCGATGTCCACCGGTTGATCCCTAAGCCGATCCACTGGACCACCGCCTACCGGCGTTCTGGGTAAACCCCCAGCCAGCGACATTCGCACCAACCCTGCAGCGCCCTCTCCGTCTGAGGACCAGAGTGCGTCTTCGTCGGCGTTGGGAGGACCCATCGACCTTAGCTGATGGCCATGCCTATTATCTGCATCCTTCTCCATTCTTTTCCCTATCTAACCAATAACCCAAATACATTCAATAATAATAAATAATCCAATAAATAAATAATATAAATAATAAATAAATAAATAAGGATGCACCAATACGATAATAAATAAATAAGAATAAATAAATATGATAAATAAATAAACAAGAATAACTAATAGTGAAAATATAAAAAAAATTACTCAAACTTTCCTAATCACAAACATCCGCTTCACAAATTACCTATTTAAATTTTCTTATTCTTTTCCCTTCACAGATTTGGACGTGGGGAGATGGAACTGACCCTCGCCGGTGGACTTCCGACCTAACCCGTCCTGCGCTTTCTCCAAAACCGAACTTTCCCGTCACCTCCTAGCCGTTCGTCAACTGGACTGGCTATCACTCGTGGTGATAGCCGCCAGTTAAGGACTTTGGCTGGTTTTACTCCTGCTGGCTTTTCCTTCCCATCGGCATTTTCTATTTTAAATCGCGGCAACCGTGCAGCGCGTAGGGCCGCTACGGGTCACGATTACCATTTAAGTTTAAAACCGACATAAAATTAGAAATTTAGGACGGGGAGAAAAACTCAGGAATTTATTACATTTTAAGCAAAACAACATTTTAAATAAATAAATAACAAAAAACAAGCTTTTTAACCTAATATATCACAGAATTTATCACAGATTTTTTTCAGTGTACTCGCTGTTACACGATGTACCCCGTGATGCAAAACCTGGCTTCTGCCGGGATGTCATCACAGTTTTACTGGAAAACCTGTGACCAGGAGCAATTTGTCGGCACAAATTTGCTGACCAAGCCTCCTATTCCATGCATTTTTTTGGTACCCCGTTTGACTTCCCCGTCATCACCTCCGATGCAATTGCAACGAATATTGCAAGCCACCGTCGGGGATGACGAGGGGAGTCAGGGCCATCAATGGGCGAGACGTCGCCGCCTCGACAATTTTATTGTTTAAATTGGGCGCCACTATGTTACGAACTGCTAATTTTCCTTTTGGCAGTGCCGCTAGCTCAGTTTTCCCTCAGGGCGGAGTCCCCCTAATGCCACAGCTCGCAACATAAATATCGACAACTACGCAGTCTCACATCACTAAACTATCGGTCATCACTACATATAAAACGTAAACAAAGGCAAATAACTACAAGTGACGGGAAATATTAATTGTTTTGGTGGCTATTGATGACCTAGCCAAGCACGCCCACCCAACCAAGGATGCCCCGGAGGATTCCGCAGAGGCATCACCCATTCTTGGTCTGCCGGAGTCACTCCTCGCGCCTACGACAGCTCCATCTCCCCCACAGTGACGACTTACTCACGCATTTCGGTCTTCAATTACATTTAATATCGGTGGTAAGTACAAGTGTTCAAGTTTAACATCATTATTGTTGTTCTTGCATTAATTCATTTATCTTTCTTCAGCCTTTAATATCACAGTTGGCCGCCGTTTCAATACTTAGGCGGTCAAAGCAGAGGAACTTGCTTCCCTGGGAAAAGTCTGCAGGCGCCGCGTAACTATGCTCCACCAGTCATTTGTTGGTGGAGCTCACACTAAAACGAGGCGCAAATAAGACACACTATCTGTGTGTCGGGTCACCTAATCCAAAGGAGCTCCTGGGGAAAAGAAGGGACAGGCCAAAGATGTAATTGCGCGCTGCAATCTCCCCCCACCGAAAACTAAGGCTCGCGACCCTTTCAATAGGCAACACTGAGGACAACTATGGTTTTAGGGTCTGGATCCGGATAAATTTACAAGTAACCACGGGAAGTATTCCCATTAATATTTACAAAGATATACTTATGACTAATTATTATAATTTTCCGCCACTTCTAGGCTAGATATATGGCGATATTCTATCCCGGACGAGGGCTATTCCGCTGGAGGCCAGCGGCCGTTAAAGCCTGGAAAGCCCCGAGGAATGGTGATGGTCTATAAAATGGCGTGGCCGTTCACCGCCGCGCAAATTGACGCCGTTGGACCCGAAGGCGAGAGGGACTGATACCCCGGAACGGACTCACCGGAGATCGGCTGCCTGGCGTGGACGGCGTACGAGGAAGGCAGGGTAGGAGTCGTCTAGCTGAGTCCAAACGGCTTCAGGGATATAACCACCTCAGGCTCTCGGATCCACTTCAAGGTGTGTATGGGTTGTAGGAGAATTTCCAACCTCACTTCCAAAATGTATTTCCAAAATAAATCTTCTGGGATAAATCTTCCGGGGCCCTTGGTGTTGGGACCCCGGTTGCCCTGCAGACAATTATTTGTTAATACCGTACACTAATAAACCTAACACGCTAACACTCACTTTTTTTTTGTTTTTTTGCACAAACACTTGTTCAAGTAACTCCCGCTGCGTCCAGCTTCTGGGACAATATGGCTGCGACTATTCTAATCTGCCTATCATCATGGCGGTCTTGCCATATTCCCTTGCCTCTCCCAAAACTGGGTCATCGGACGGATTCAAGGCCACGGGAGAGTAGTCCCTGAGCGAACCGGGATTACTCCAAATGGCCAGATCGTCCTCCAGATTCCCCACAGGGGGGCGCCACCAAAACCATCGCCTTATCGTCCTGACCTATCGATAAAATCTATCTGACAATCGACTCCAACTGCAACACTATTTACTGCCTAAAGCCTAGTACTCTGTACGACGAAAACTGCTAGCTAAGCATAGGAGTAAGCGAGAGGCAAATAGGTAGCTAAAGCCTTTAGCTGGGACTTTTTTCCACCGCGGTACTCAGTTGAGCTAAGGAAATAGTGAGAAAATACCACAAAAATACTAGATTTAGCGGATGAACTCCGATGAACGCCTTTAGCCGCCGACCAAAGAATAAAAAATTTGATCTTTGCCTGTGTGTGTGCAGAAGTGGTGTGCCAATAACAAATTATAAATGGAAGGAAAACCCTAAAAACCAATGGAAAACTGCCTGTAGGAGTTGCGGCAATACATATCTCCATGCCAACAGCAAATTTAAAGCTTGCGACCCAGGTCGGCTCAACATTTTGTAACATTTCAAAATTGGCGCCAGTTGATTTGATTGCTGAGAGTAAGACCATGCTACATGCATTGCGGATGAAGTTCGAAAACTTCGGCCACACTAAAGAATTAATATTTTTCGACTAGTAAAACTCTTAGCCAAACTGAGTACTAGGCTTATAGTTGTTACCAAGGTTAAGCCTAGTACTCAGTTTGGCTAAGAGTTTCACTAGTCGAAAAATCTTATTACTTTAGTGTGACCGATGTTTTCGGGGTTCAGCCTAGTACTCAGTACGACGAAAACTGCTAGCTAAGCATAGGAGTAAGCGAGAGGCAAATAGGTTGCTAAAGCCTTTAGCCGGGGACTTTTTTCACCGCGATACTCAGTTGAGCTAAAGAAATGGTAAGGAAATACCAAAAAATACTAGATTTAGCGGATGAATTCCGATGAACGCCTTTAGCCGCGGCCCAAAGAATAAAAAATGTAATCTTTGGCTGTGTTTGTGCAGAATCGGTGTGCCAATAAAGCCTAGTACTCAGTTGGGCTAAGAGTTTTACTAGTCGAAAAATATTAATCTTTTAGTGTGGCCGAAGTTTTCGGACTTCATCCGCAATGCATGTAGCATGGTCTTACTCTCAGCAAACAAATCAACTGGCGCCAATTTTGAAATGTTACAAAATGTTGAGCCGACCTGGGTCGCAAGCTTTAAATTTGCTGTTGGCATGGAGATATGTATTGCCGCAACTCCTACAGGCAGTTTTCGATTGGTTTTTAGGGTTTTCCTTCCATTTATAATTTGTTATTGGCACACCGCTTCTGCACATACACAGGCAAAGATCAAATTTTTTATTCTTTGGTCGGCGGCTAAAGGCGTTCATCGGAATTCATCCGCTAAATCTAGTATTTATTTGGTATTTTCTTACTATTTCCTTAGCTCAACTGAGTACCGCGGTGGAAAAAAGTCCCAGCTAAAGGCTTTAGCTACCTATTTGCCTCTCGCTTACTCCTATGCTTAACTAGCAGTTTTCGTCGTACTGAGTACTAACACAAGAACACAAAATTAAACTTTGTGAAATTTCCACGAACCATTTCAAGTTTTCCATGATATGTGGGTGCTTCTGAGTAAAAGTCCCATACAAAATTATTTTCCATCACCTACAGGTTCCGC